CAAAAATAAATAAAAGAAGGATGTACTATTGGAGAGGAGTTTGAAAACTGCTATCCAATGCCAGGAGTGGTGGTGCACTCCTGTAATCCCAGCACTCAGGAGGCTGAAGCAGGAGGATTGTCACTAGTTTGAGGCCAACCTGGGCTACATAGTGAGTTCAAGGCCAGCCTGGACTATATAGTGAGACCCTGACTCAAAACAAACAAACAAGAAAAAACAAGTGCTGTCCCATGCTGGGGCTTCAGGCTTCTGCCATTTGTACTGTGTGGCAGAGAGAGTCCTTGCCCACTCTCAACCCCTTCTGTGCTGGCCACAGCGGCCCGGGGCCTGGGCCCTTCCTATCTCTGGTCGCCCTTCTCCCAGCTTCTCTCATCCCTGGCTCCCCTCCCTGCCCCCCTGCTTTTTCTCACTTCCGTCAGCCCTCCAGCCGCCTCACAGCTCTGTCCTCCTCCCCTGCCCTGTCCCCAGCCGTGTCCAGATGTGTACTGGTTCCCGCTGCTGTCAGAGCAGATGTGCGACGAGCTGGTGGAGGAAATGGAGAACTACGGCCAGTGGTCAGGGGGCCGGCATGAGGTGAGGGGTGCTGAGGGAGGGACCCTGGGATTAGGGTTGTGGGAGTGGCAAGGGAGATGAAACTAGGAGGAAGCCCATGCAGGAAGCTGCATTCATTCATTTGAGAATATTTACTGGGCCACTGGCCTAGACAGTATAGATACAGTAGAGAAAAGCAGGGGCCTGGGCTCTGATGGGGACCAGGCGCTTCACAGGAGAGATGACATCTTAGCTGAGATGTGAAGGCCCAAGAGCAGTAAGTCTTGCTAAGAAGTAGAAGAGAAGATTGCTAGAGCAACACATGCCTATCATCCCAGAATTCTTGGAGGCTGAGGCAGGAGGATTGAAAGTTTGAGCCCTGGGCTGGGGATTTAGTTCAGTGGTTCCGCTGCCTGCCTCACAAGTGCAAGGACCCAAGTTCGATCTCTGGTACCAAAAAAAAAAAAAAAGAAGTTTGAGCCCAGCCTGGGCAATTTAGTGACATAGTGAGATCCTGTCTCAAAATAAATGAAAAAGGGCTGGGGTGGGAATACAGCTCAGTGTGAAGACCCTGGGTTCATTCACTGGTACTGCCAAAAAAAAAAAGACTGTTCCAGACAGGTCTCCAGGTAGTAAGGCCTAGAGACAAGAGAAGGAAGGAGGTTGGCCCTGCCCCAGGCAGTGGGTGGCTGAGTGCCCGCTACCTACAGGACTCACGGCTGACCGGGGGCTACGAGAATGTGCCCACTGTGGACATCCACATGAAGCAGGTGGGCTACGAGGACCAGTGGCTGCAGCTGCTGAGGACATATGTGGGGCCCATGACGGAGCACCTGTTCCCCGGCTACCACACCAAGGTGGGTCCACACCCCAATGCCACATGGGAGTCATCAGGTGAGCCCTCTCGGTCACTAGAGCATTTGGGGCTCCTTGGAACCTGTCCTGGGCATGAGAAGCACAGGAGGGCAAGCAGGGAGGCAGCTGCCGTGCTGAGACCCATGCTGCCCTGGCACTGAGGGCCTCAATACCCCCGATCCTGCCTGAAGCTGCCCCTTTTGTCCCCTCAGACCAGGGCAGTGATGAACTTCGTGGTCCGCTACCGGCCAGACGAGCAGCCTTCCCTGCGGCCCCATCACGACTCATCTACCTTCACCCTCAATGTGGCACTCAACCACAAGGGCCTGGATTATGAGGTGAGCCCTGACCTGTTCCAGAGCACGCTGACCTTCCTGCACCTAGGGACCTTTGTCATTTAACACCCGCTGTGCACCTCTAGCTGCCTTCCTTGGCTCTGGCCACACCGTTCCCCATTTCCCAGTTATTTTGGGGTATATGCCCCCCTGGATGCCTTCTGGGTGGCTCCCTCCACACTTCCTGTGTGCCTCTTGTCTGTGATGCCCCCACCCTCCTGATCTGTCCTGCCTGCCCCCATCCTGGCAGCCCCCCTTCTGTACCTACCCGCCCCCCACCCCATGTCTGCTCACCCCCTTTCCTCTCCCTTCTCTCCCCGCAGGGAGGGGGCTGCCGCTTCCTGCGCTATGACTGCATCATCTCGTCCCCAAGGAAGGGTTGGGGGCTCCTGCACCCTGGCCGCCTCACCCACTACCACGAGGGGCTGCCCACAACTCGGGGGACTCGCTACATCATGGTGTCCTTTGTGGACCCCTGACACTCAACCACTCTGCCAAACTTTCACTGCCATTGTGCCTTCTTGGGGGGCCTGGCCCCCATCCTTTGGAGATGGGTGTTTGCCCATAGCCTTGCTTCCTGAATGTGTCCCGTGTGCCCAGGACTAAAGGTATCACCTTGCCACATCCATGGCCTCTAAGGAAGCTGCAGGAGCCCCCACCATCCCTGCTGCCCCCAGGGGTTCGTGGTGCTGGGCTTCTGGGGGCTCCCCCGTGATAAATTATTAAGGTTCCTCAGTCTTCCTCCAGTAAAGGAAGGTTTGTAACTCTTGAGTCCATGTGTCATCCTTGACCTCTCAGTAACCCCGTTGCCCTCCTGCCACCCAGATGACCTCAGAAGCAGGGGTGTGATGATGGGTTTGTGGAGATCAGTTTCCCCAGTTCCATTTTCCTGCTCCCCGTTGCTGCCTGAGCTGGGGAAATGTATGACAAGGACCTTTTCAGTACATGTGCTGCTGAAGCAAGCACTTGACAAGGCTGAGGGAGAAAAGGAGTCACGATCAGGTGCAGACACAACCCTGCACCCCCTCCCTGACCTGCACCTTACCCGGGAGTGTTCTTCCCCTGGGGAAGAGGACAGGATGGCACAGCCCCGAGCAAGGCTCGCAGGACAGTGCTGGGGAAAGAAGTCCCTCAGAAGCCTGTGCTGGGACCTAGGCTGTCACTTGGATAGGATGGGATGAAGAAAGGAGGCTCCAGCTGGACGTGGTGGCACAGGAGGATCGCTGTGAGTTCGAGGCCAAGCTGGGCTACATAGTGATTTCAAAGCCAGCCTGAATTACAGTCTCAAAAAAAAAAGGACAGGGAACTCCAAGGCTCCTCCCCTAGAAACTTTCTTTAATTTGATCTTCCCCAGTCTTGCTCTAAACTCTGAATTTCTCTCTCAACTGTTCCCTTTTGGAGGTCTCTCAAAAACAGACAGACTTGTTCATTTATCCAGGGATGTCTCCCCAGCCACAGCCACACTCTCTTCTACATGCCCCCCAAAAAAACCTACTCCCTGAGGCTGCCACCCTGGTAGGTGGTGCTGATCACCCGGGCACTTAGGGTAAGTCTTAAATCCCTTCACTCTGACTACTGCCCTGTGGGTGTAAATTGGCTGAGTGGGGACAACAGGAAAGACTTCTGGGCAAGGACCCTGGACAGAGAAACCTGCTTGAGAGGAGGGACGGGACCAAAGGGCGTGCCTGGCCTGCACGATGGGGCCTGGGCTTTCCCTGTCTCCTTGGTGCCCACTGTTCATTTATTGACCACCTTGTGCCGGACACCTCAGAAATCACAAGGGCTATGGCGATGGGCATGATAGCTGTCCTCTTGGTGCTTACACCCCGGGGCAGATGACCTTAACAGAGGCAGTGATGAAAGAGAGGTACTCCACAAGGTTGGTTTGGAACAGAGGCACCTATGGGTGACGTTCCCTTGAACCAAATGGTCATGTGGATATAGGGTATATGATGTATTGGTGATACAGGACCTCCAAATAATCCAAATAATGTAATGGAAATATTATAACTCCCAACTTGCTGGATGTCAGGACATGCTGAGTTCATGTTCTGTAACACTGAACAATGAATTCTAGGAACAATGGAGGTTGAGAGGGGAGAATTTATTGAGAGAAAGATAGCTTCTAAGACAGAAGGGGGATTGGACCTCATTTCTCAGGGGTGTTTTGAGCAAAGCCAGAAGTATTGGGTTCGAGGTGAGACAAAACTATAGTCAACTAGTAAAATTACAAGTACAGTTGCTTAGGTAATACTGGTTCAATGGAAAAATCGCAAGGTAGTTATGAGGTGGGACAAAACAAGGGTCAACCGATAAGATTAAAAACAAGTAGAGCTGCTTAGGTAATATTGATTAAATGGAGATCAAATGGAGAAGCAAGTCTCATAGCAAGCATACCTGGAATGAACAAGGATTTCTAGGAAGGAGTGGGCTAGGGAATCTTTGGTCCCCACCCAAGGTGATTGATGCCTATTTAGATGTCAATCACTGCTGTTTATCCCTAGGGGAAATACATGAGCTGTAGTAGTTCCTTTTTTTTTGAATCCTGGCCATCAATGAATGTCTCAATTGTCTTCTGTATTGACTCCCTCAAGGGCCTGTCAGGTCTAACTGTCCATAATATATCCAACTAATTTAGTTGCCTTCAATAATGCTAGAAGGCATGGTGATGCTGAGGACACTTCAGGCCCCGATACATAGCCCAGTGGGCCCTGTTTTGGACTCATCCCTCAGTCTTCCCACAAAACACGACCCTCCAGAGTGTCTGCCCCACAGAGGCCTTCCAGACAGAGCCTGCCTGCCTGCCTGCAAGTTCTGGACCTCAGGTTAAGTTTTTTTGTTTCGGGACTTTTTTTTTTTTCCCCAGTACTGAAAATTAAACCCCCAGGCCCTTCACACTAAACTCCATCCCAAGCCCTTCTTTATTTTTTATTTTGAGATGACTAAATTGTTAAGTTGCCCAGGCTGGGCTGAAATTTGCAGTCCTCCTGACTCAGCCTCCCAGAGTGCTGAGATTACAGGTGTGTACCACTGTGGCCAGGTGAACTTTTCAAGCTGCTTTTATAGGTTTACGCAGGCCAGCCTCAGCACTTTAAACTGGCGCAGTCCTCACCGGGAAGTTCAAACACCTTCCCCAGCCTCTGGTCCCTCCCCTAGTCATTTCCCTTTGCTCCTATTGGTCACCCCAGCTCAGGGAGTGCTGAGGCAGTATCTCTCCGGCTCACTCACGTGGCTCTGGGTGCCTTTCAGCAAAGGGGGTGGAACCCAGACCAGGGTTCAAGGTCGATGGAATGGGCCAGAAAGGGGTGTTTCAGAGTTCCAGAGCACCCGGTGTGATTCCTCTGTACAACATGGAGGACTCTTTCAGCCTCCTCCCCAGGGGTCTCCAAGTCTTTGCGGTCCTGCAATGGGTCTTCTCCTTTTTGGGACTTGGTGAGTCCCCAGAGTTCCAGGACTCAGGCAAACCTGGCAACTGTGCTCTGCTTCCCCATTACCCCGAGAGAGGCAGCGAGGGACCTTCAGGGTCCTTGAAGGAGCCCAGTGAGCAGGCACACAGAAGGGCCTGAACACCTGGAACCGGGGCAGGGGCTGGGGAGGCAGGGCTTGAACGCCTGGGTTCTGAGTGCGTCCATCCCCAGCCCAGGTGTGCCTGGTGGCCTTGCTCCTCACTGCCCTGGGCCGGGCCTGGATCCTGGTGGTCCTCTACCTGACTTGGCTCTACAGAGACAGAGACACACCCAGGGCTGGAGGCCGCCGCTCAGCCTGGGTCCGCAACTGGGCCATCTGGAGACATTTCCGTGACTACTTTCCCATCACGGTGAGGGTCCTGGGAATGGTGAGCTGGGAATAGTGGGAGGGGGCTTCGAAATAGACCCTTGAGGGGATCATCCCTCATAGCTCAGTCTCCCCAGTAATTGAGTGCACATCTGCTCCCCAGCTGGTTAAAACCGCAGAGTTGGATCCCTCCCAGAACTACCTCTTTGGCTTCCACCCTCATGGGGTCCTGGTCGTGGGGGCTTTTGCCAACTTCTGCACTGAGGCTACGGGCTTCTCCCGCCTCTTCCCGGGTCTGCGTCCGCACCTGCTCATGCTGCCCTGTTGGTTCCAAGTCCCTTTCTTCCGGGACTACATCATGACCAGTGGTAAGGAGGGGTTGAGTCCAGCCTCTACACCCTCAAGCCTGGCTGTCACCTCCCTCTCCTGCTGGGGGCACCTGGGCTCAGCTCTGTCTCCCCAGAGTCCTCTACTTTCTGCCGTGCAAGCCCCAGGTACCCAGTCCTCCCAGCCTCTGATTCCCCCCAGGCTTGGTCTCCTCTGACAAGGCCAGCGCTGCCTATCTGCTGTCCTGTCCTGGGGGTGGCCAGGTGGCGGTCCTCGCAGTGGGAGGGCCCCTAGAAGCGCTGGAGGCAAAGCCCGGTGCACTGAGCCTGAGGATCCGGAATCAGAAGGGATTCGTTAAACTGGCCCTGGAACACGGGTGAGGAGGGCAGGGAAAGGTCTGGGATGTTGGGCCTGGAGGCCCCCGGAGCTGCCCTGTGGGGAAAGGAGCACGGCCAGGAGTCAGCTGTCGCCTGTGTCCCCAGGGCCTCCCTGGTGCCTGTCTTCTCCTTTGGGGAGAACGAGCTCTTCCAGCAGTTCCCGAATCCGCCTGGTTCGTGGGTGCGGAGGGTGCAGGAGGCGCTGCAGCCCTACCTGCGAGTGGCCCTGCCGCTGTTCCACGGCCGCGGCGGGCTCCTGCTGCCCTTCCGAGCGCCTATCCGCACAGTCGGTGAGCGGGGTTCCCCTGCTCCCCTCGCGCCTGATGCTCCGCTCTGGGCCGTGCACGGGGCTCCTGGGCGTCGTCCCCGCTTCAGCCCTGAACCATGTCTGGGAGGACCTCGAGGGCGGACAGGCTGGAGGGTGGAACTGGGACCTCCC